CTATGAAAAAATATGGCTGGAAGGGATCTTAAAAGGTTATCTAGGTCTAGTCCAGTGGTTCTTGACTGCTAGGCCATGGTCCAATGCTGGGCCACAGACCCCAGGCTGCTGAGCTGTGGCTGCTCCAGCGGCTGGAGCCAGAGGACCTGCATAGCAAGTGGCTGCTTTCATAGCCAGAGCCATAGGAGTTACGTGGCAGGTGGCAGGCAGCTGCTTCCGCGGCTGGAGCTGGACCCTGCCATGCAGCAGGAGACTGCTCCAGTGGCCAGGGCTGGAGCTGCTCTGTCCCAAAGCCTGCACGGATGATGAGCTCTCCCCAGAATCAGGGCAGGCAGACAGTGAAGGAACCATTGGAATTTTCCTCAATCCCTGTGAGTTTATTCATTGCAGTAATTCATCTAAAATAATTTTTAGTGAATATCAATTTTCTGTGTGAACCTGCTCTTAAAAATCTCCAGTGATGGAACAGTGATGGTGACAGCTGGCTCATGGCCTCACTTCTCCCACTCCATGGTGATGAATTCCCAAAGGGAATTTCCTAGGAAGAAATCTTTAGTGCACTATGAGTGCAAAGACTGTAGTAATGTCTGGTCTCTGCACAAGATCATCTAAAGCAGTATTTCTCAACCAGTGGTACGGGTACCTTTAGGAGTACTCCCGAGAAATCTGGGGGGAGGGGGGGTACGTCAACACAACTGAAATTTAGAGAAAACTACATTTTTATGTTAAGTTTTTTATAGTGCGCTGTTTTTTTTGTACTTTATATTCCCAAAACGTTTTTTATAGTTTTTTTTGTACTTTATATTCCCAAAATTTCATAATCCACCCAGCTACAATTAAGTTGCTTAAATAAATGTGTTAAACAAATCCCTTATGGTGAGGGATAGCTCAGTGGTTTGAGCATTGACCTGCTAAACCCAGGGTTGTGAGTTCAATCCTTGCGGAGGCCATTTAGGGATTTGGGGCAAAAATTTGTCAGGGATGGTACTTGGTCCTGCTGCGAAGGCAGGGGGCTGGACTCAATCTTTCAAGGTCCCTTCCAGCTCTAGGAGATGGGCAATCTCCATTATTTATATA